GGGGGGGGGGGTACGCGAGCGGGGGTGGCGCTTGTCGTGCTCAACGTACGTGCTGCTCTACTCGGATCGACTTGATATCTTGCGTTTTTCTTTCCTCCATGGGTTGGTGTGCGTTTCGGCTGATGCTGGGTTCAGTTTCGTACACACAAAACGCGTGTCCCTTGTCTGTGTTGCTTGTTTCGGTTGACGTGAAACGTTTTCCCGTTCTTGGCGTTCCTTCTTGTGTTATGATGATGATGATGACGATGATGTTTTTCCGAGGGCAGGTACAAGTCGCACAGGGTGGCGCAAGCGTTCGAGGTGGCGCACATCATCCGCCTCACTTCCAGAAGCCCTCTGGTTTTACTCTTGGTGAGGACCCCCGCACCCACGCCGCACACCGCCGTGCGGTACGATATCACTGCATAGAGAGGATCCCACGAGCAGAAACGAAGAGTCAAGAAGCAGGTGGTAAATTTCAGCAGTCTGGTACTCCACGACCCGTTGGTTGCCCCCTGTGCTCGCCCTTCTCTCACCCGTTATCCCGCCGTTGTTTGCGGGACCCTCTTTCACCGTTGAAATAGTCGGACCTGAACGCGGGCCCCGGGTCGATGCCGTACGGGCTCCAGCGCAGCGTGGCGGGTCTGCTGGACGCGTTTGGTGAGGCTAAGCCCGACCAGGACGGCTTCACGTGCGAGGCCACCGACAACGTGTTTTCCAACGGAAGGTGTGGGTGACTGCCTGCAACGCCTTCTTTGTGGCCACGGGGGGGGGACGCAGAATGCCTCAGGGGGTGGGGAAGGTGTGCGTGCCCACGGCACGGCCTTCTTCGTGGCCGCAGGGGGGGACGCAGAATGCCTTCGGTAGGGGTTGGGTTGGTTGTTGAGTGTTCAAGGCTCGAGAAGGCCTTGTCGATTTGTTGACGTTGGAGCGCCGCAAGAAAATCCTCATGGGCTATGGTTTGCGGACATGGAGTTCCGTGTTGTTTCTGCCGCGCTCTCAAGGCAGGAAAGGGTTGTGTCTGAACCGAGGTAGGGGGGAGAGAGTCGCTGCTGTGGCGCTCGTGCATGTGCAGGGTACAGCAGTAGTTTTGAGTTCGAGTCTTGGCTCGGATTTCGGGCTATTATTTCAGCATATCTCACTTGTGTATATAGTGTAAATAGGCCCGCGGTATGTATGAGAATCGGCATCTCCTCGGGTGCTTGCCGCTGATACTGTACCTTTCGTCCTTTTCGACACTGACCCTCAGCTTGTGCCCCCCCCCCCCCCTCTACGACACGTTGCCAATCGTAGGGACCCGCCGGCGAGACTGGACTACGTGCTCTTCAAGGCCTTGCCGCCACCCCTGTGCGCGCCGCAGGCAGTGGAGCCCACGTGGGAGCTGAGCAAGTGCTGGGTGCACCGAGCGGTAAGAATGCTTTTGCCGTCGCCGCCCTTTGGGGTAGGTAGCTTCGATGTTGTCGGGGTATTCTGTTTGTTTGTTTTTTTTTTGGGGGGAGGGTCCTGTCTTGCGTGCAGACTTTTACGAAACGGGCAGTTGTAGATGGCGCTACATTTGATGGTTGTTCGCGTACGTAGTGGCGCCGCCATGTGCTTGATTGTGATTGGAACGTGGCGCGTTGCCGCCCGGATTTGTTTGGAGGCGTCAAATCCTGGGTCTTGTACACAAACCCTGGGGTCTTGTACACGTCTCTCTCTCTCCTCTCTCTGGCCGACCCGGACTATCATATCAGACTTGATGAGGAATAACGAAGAGAGAAAAACGATGAGGTGTTTTTGACCAATCAGCGAACTGCGTGCCACAAATATTTTTCTCTGCGGAAAACCACAAACAACAACAGGACAAGTATCAACAACAACACCCGTGACACCACCACCACCACCACCACCACGAATAACAACAACGCTTTTTTTCACACACACACACGGTTTCCCTCTCCCGCCACCCCCCCGTTCTCCCAATACCCTACCGGACAACACGCCTGTTGCTCACTACAATACAACATTTGGTGACGTTGACAGCATATCCCGGAAGATGACACCGATGCTAGCCTCCTCGCCCAAGTCGCCGAGACGAGGACGGAGAGCCGCAACAGCCGCAACAACGCCTCCACAGGGGCCCCGCAGCAGCGTGGCAGGACGGGAGGACCAGCGGCGGCGGCGGCATTGTCGTCGCCGCTCATGGGCAGCAGCAGCAGCAGCAGCAGCAGCAGCAGCAGGGATAGCCAGCCCCGGGGGCAGGGGCGGGCAGCGGCGGCGTCGCCCGTGCGATCAGAAGACGGGAATTTCGTGGACGGCGTTGGGGCTGGGTTGGGGGGGGGCGGGGGTAGGGGCGGAGCAGGGGTGGGAGCGCAACGGAGGATTAATTTGTCCGACCACCACGGGGTGAGCCGAGGATTTTAGCCGTGATGCCGCCGCGACTGGGCTTGTTTTTCGCAGAGGGGGTCTTAGGGTCTTACGGCATGGTTGGTTGTTGTTTTGACTTGTACCATGGCGGCATCGATGGAGATATGTTGGTGTAGGGGGTTGTCTTCCGCGAGATATATATCTTACGGTCGCCTTGGCGTAACCGATACACCATTTCTTGTCGGCCCTAACGACAATGTGGTACCCCCTCTCCCTTCCTCTGGTTCATCCTGGTGAAAAAAACCTGGGCCGGCGAAAACCCGGCGTATCGTCCCGTCCCGACATTGTGGGGATGCGAGGTCAATGGTCTAACGGTTACGGCATGCACGACTATGAGTACCCCCCCCCCCCCTTCAAAGGAAAATACTCACGGTGCCCCCGTGACCCAGGTATGCCTCTTCACCTCTCAATCTTGACTTGAACTCGCTTGTGTTTCTGCGCCCTGCTGCTAACCCTAACCCTACTCCTTGCTGTGGCTGTGGCAGGTTGCCGCGGAGTTTACGGCTAGAGATCCCGAAGGCGGCGACGACGACGATCATAGCTCGCTGGACGATGACATCGACGGGATGCCCCCGCCACGGCGGGGCTTGCGGCACTCCCAATCCATCCCGGGAGGGACTTTCCCTCAGGTGCTGTTTAGTAGTGGTCTTCGTAACGCCACCTTTGGTGGAACGCTGCTGCATTCAAGCTGTATTGGTTTGTGTTTGTATTGCCAATGTGGCAGTGGTTGTTGTTGATCCGTCGTGGCGCTGACGACCTAATCCTGTTGTTGTTCTTGTTTGCGTTGTTTGGGGTGACATGTGGCCCGAAGTGCTGCTCATCTCCCTCGGAGAGTCTATAGGCAAGGAAGAGGAGGCATTGGACATTGCAGGTGGTCGGGATTATTTTTGATGAGAAAGAAGCACCCAACGCTCCCCGCAGTCACGCTGCTGCTGCAAAACGCCCGGTCGGGGGAAGAAAATAACACATCTCCCTTCCTCTCTGTCTCGCCCTCTCTCTCTCTCTCTCTCTCTCTCTCTCCCCTGGCCTACCGGGGATGAACCACACAGGGACCGCTGTTAGCGCGAGCGTTGACGGAAATCGACCGTGGGATAGAGGAGGCTTCGAACCGAAGGACTTGCCACCTGCGCACTGCTAAAGCCCTGGCGACGTTATGGCTGGCGCTCTTGGCTGGGGGAGCCGTGGCCAAATCGGACGGTTTAATGGGGTGAGGAAGACTCTCTCTCTCTCACTCCGGTGGTGGGGGGTAGGGAGGGTTTCCTTTGTGTTTTTTATTCGCATTTTTTTACCCAGGGGGGGGGAGGGGGGGGACGGGGGGCGGGCTCATGCGGGAAACCTGTGGGATCGATTTGCTCCATAACGCCGGGGCACGGTGCACGAAAGTTCGTTGCAGCAATCTTGCGGAACATGTACCGGTGCGGGGAAAGCTCCAAGCCAAACCTACTACTCGATGTTTTATCTTTATCTTTATCTTGACAATGGGGAAGTGTCGGTGGCGGATCTATTTTGGAGGCGTATGTTGAAGCCGGACGCGCCATAAGTACGCGGTCGGTTGGTGTTCGAATCTCATGAATACCCTCTTCTGCTTGGAGTTCGGTGTTTTCGTAAGCAAGACGCTGCTCCTTGTACGTGTCGACGGTAGTATCACCCGCCGCATCTTGATTTAATCGCCGTGGAATACGCAGGTACATCGCGAGAGGAGCTGCTGGGGTGTTTGGGGGTGTCCTGTGTACAGCGGCGTCGGCGTTGTTCCTGTTGTACTGGTTCTCGGCGAAGCAGGAGGTTCAAGGACTCAAGGAGGTCTTCCAGACGTAAGTCAAGTCTCTTTCCGTCCTCTCTGTCTGTCTCTGTCTGTCTCTGTCTGTCTCTGTCTGTCTCTGTCTGTCTCTGTCTCTATCTTTCTCCCCTTCCTTTCCCTCTCTCTGCTCATCGACGTTTGGTGGCGATGTAGATATTCCGGTCCAATCTAGTCTTGTGTGGCGTGCTTGTCTCTCCCGCCTGGCGGTTGGCACTCGTCTTGTCTTCGGAAGAATTCCATGTAGATACATATTTCCTGGATAATTCCATAGCCGAAGCCACCCTACCTGCATGGCAGCCTGTGTTTCGTCCCTCCCTCCCTCCTTCCGCAAAATGGGCTCCACAGCGGTGCCCAGGATGGTTTTGCGTGTACGGAAGCAGCACCGAAACAGATACCGTAGGTTGCGTAAGGTACCACACCCCCTGGACAGTTTTTCAAGCCTAAAGTACTCCACGACGCCGCAACCAACTGATACGTTCTCGGGAAGCTCTCGACGAGACGGTCCCGACGCCGCCATTTTCGGCACTGTTACTGCCGTTTTCGCTGCAGACTAGTGGAGCTTTGAAAACCGGTCCAGGGTGTGTGTGGTATTTGACGTATGCAACCTATGGTGGTGATCGCGCGTTGCTCGCGTGCACTGCTCTAGATACATGCTCCACATGCCCATCCCTCTTCCGTGCCCTGTTGCTTGTTGCTTGTTGCCTGGGGGAGTTTGCTGAGAGTTGACAGCTGCTCGGCAAGGTGGTTCATGTTTCGTGGACACGATGTAACATTTTGCATGAACGAGGAATGGTTGTGTGTTGTTTTTATAGGGGTAGGGTTGAGTAGTGTTTTTTAATGTGAAGACAAGAAGGGTTGAGTAGCAGCCTCTGTCATGTAATCAAAGCCGGCGGTCGTGTTGAAGCGAACCGGACGCACCAAGTTGGGTCTGGTCTGACAGCACGTAACGTCACGGGGTTGGCTGCTTGTGGGGATGTGCGGAGCGGTCTCTTTTTTGGGGGTGTCTCCTACAAAGTTCGCGGTACGTCCCCCGTAATCCCTCCCTCCCTCTCCCTCTGCCCTTTCCCTCTCTCTCTCTCTCTCTCTCTCTCTCTCTCTCTCTCTCTCTCTCTCTGTGTGTTCCCGTGTGTGCATCTCTGTCGCCGTGTGTCTCCGTCTCTTTATTTGTGCGTCTCTCTCTCTCGCCCCCTCCTCCCTCCCCCCACCCCCCCCCTCTCTGCTTGCAACACTTCCGTACGTGACGAAGCGCCACGAACTACGAGCGGCACCTCCCAATGGAGGAGGCTTTTCCAGACGGGGGGTTCGACACCTCGCAGTTATACAGCTACATGGAACAGCACTTCCGCTAATAGCTGTTCGAGCAGGGCGAATAGCGCCACGGAACGTGATTCCATCTGTCTCTTCTTTCGCTACCGTTCGTTTTACAGTTTTTTCCCAGGCAACGTAAAATAGCTACACATTTTACAGGCGTGTCGACGCGACAGCGATTTCAGTTACAGAGTTGTGGGATCGGGATATGATAGAGTGATAGAAGAGTATCGATGAGCTAAAGGATGCATGGTCTGCATAGGTATTCACCGTTTGTTACACGTATACAATATTTACTGCTGTGTACGCACATGTACTCGTGGCCAATTTCATCCCCCTTGGCTTTGGCAGAAACTGGAGATGGGTTCAATTCCACCCCATTCCACTCCAAGTCTGCCGGCAGGTTACTTCAACAGTCGACGTCGTCAGGGAATCATAGGTGTAGCACTAGTTTTATTTCTGTTCGTCTTTGGTAGCAGCATCAGACCTTGCTCCCGGGACAACAGTGTATTCGATAAACCAGAATTACAGAAATTAGGTCGAAGGTTCTACAACATTACCACGGTATGCTTTCGTGGGTCCCCCCCGCAACACTTGTCCTGTTCCACAAGCGTTCCGTGGAGTGTTTGGGGCGGTTGACCCTGTGTTCGTTGGTTGGTCATGCTGCGGTTTGCGGTTGAAAATATATGGGTGTTTCATGTAAGTTTCGTGGCGTTTTTTCTTGCGGCCTTCCGGGCCTTGTTCGGGAGTCGACGGACAGCGCAAGCATGTTTTGTTGGGGGGGTACAAGTAGGGCTGCACCGAACAGCTGTTTGGGCGGTGGAATGTACAGCGTCATGATCGTGAAGGTTCAGGTTTTGGAGGATGTTTTATCTGGTTGTGCAATCATGGGTCTCTTCCATGTTTTTACACGCTCAACGTTTTTGCTGTGTGTATGGGATCCATCCATCAGTGTTTGGCTGGCTCTCCGTGAACGGCCCAAAGGTAACAAGGTATCTTTCATGAGGTTACCGATGGCACATTAGAATGTGCGTTTTCCGTATGGCGTTCGTTACTGTCATTTGTTGTTATTTGCGTATGCGCTCAAGAGGTTCGTTTGGCGTTCCGCCGTAAGGATAAGGATCGGATTGGTTTGGCAACCGTGTCTCGAAACGGGGGTGGCACTTTTCACTTTCCGGACTGATCCAATCTAAACACGTCCTCTCCGGAGACTTGTGTAGACCTTTCTTGTAGTCGGGATAGAATCCCCAAATTGCAATTGGGGAACAACTAGAGGCTGTTCCAGAAGGGAGATTCGGGGCATGTATGCGTGAGAAACTTTCCGAGACATGCAAGCCTGGGGGTCGCGGGATGGGAACCGTCCCTCATACCCCCAACACTATGTTTTTTTCATCCGTTGGGCCCACGTGTTCTACAGCAGCTGCGTACGTTTTGGGTGGGGTCGGTCCTAGCCACGATAAGGCAGAGATTAGGCAGAAAACCGCTCGATTGAGGCTTTCCACGACACAGATGCAGGAACGCGCGTCAATTCCCCCACGTGCAAACTGGGGCCTCAGCCTGCACAAAAAATCAAGCTCTAAAGGAATCTACAAGGAGCTACAGTATGTACAAGGTGTTTTGGCGGTTTACACGCCGCCAACTTGGCCATGCAAAGACCAAGGACTTTGGGCGTACAGAGTCTCCCACGCCATATACCACGGAAATGAAAAGAAGTACGATCCAACCTCATTCCCGACTTGAGCGGTCATTGCTCTGGTGTGCACGAACAACGTGTCACCGCGAAGCCCGATCATATCTTGGTAGCTGAACAGAAACGGTTCGACGTACCCCCCCCCCACCCGCGCGCCCCCGCCTGAGAAAGAGCAACAAAATTGCCCCCCGCGCAGCAAGGAATGCGTATCATAGTCAAGACAGAAGGGTTAGATGAATAGTCATCAGTATCCCGTCTCTCTACAGGTAGATCCAGTCGGGGCTCAATCACACTGATTTCTCTCTGTTTCAAAAGCGCTGCTCTCGGAGTTTGTCAGAGAGGTCCACCAAAGTGCAAACTTTGTCTGCGAGACGACAGCGGAAGAAGCTTCTTGCTGTGCCGGGGTCACCGCTTGAGGATGGCCATCGTCGCCCATCCCAGAATCAAGCAGATACCCCCGGCAGGCGCCACTTTACTGGCTTTCTTGTCCTCCTTCAAGGCTGCCCACAAAACAACAAAGAGAGACACACGGCAGATCGATCGATGAGAGATGAGGGGGGGGGGGAGGGGGGGCGTCGAAGCACAAAACAAAACCCCTCCTCCGGTGGTGATTGTGCTCCTCTTTAGGACACGAGACAGATAGAAAGGCCTTTTTCTCCAATATGTTTTCCCCTCTTCTACAATATTGCTCCAATATATGGCAAGCATGTTCTTATTGCTTGCCCAATTACGCTCCAAAATATGCCGTAATCTGTCTTTCATGCTGTTAGTTTTGCCAACTATGCTACAGCAGTTCCGGCGATTTATACTCCGAAAATGCCCAAAACTTCACGATGATTTTCATGCTAGAGAGTAATGGGCAAAGGCCGAAGAGGTAAGACGACCTGAGCTAGGTACATTGTTTTGCCGCTTGCCAAAACGGGGTGAAAGCACCCTCGCACGCGGCGGCTAACATGGTCATTTCACGAGATGCGAGAGAATGTAAAGCACTGACCCCGGCTGAAACGTCAAACACAAACCGAAATAAAGTTCGTGCGGGCCGGCGCCAGAATACGTGATGGGACGAACAAAAAATAAAATAACAAGAGACGGACACAGAAACCAAAGGATATGTACGGGTGTGTTTGATCGTAGAAAGAGCGTCATGGGGGAGAGCTTGCGTTTCGCCGTGTTCTCACACGGCCACATCACGACGTCCGGACAAGGAGACATCGCACACTACCACCCACAAACGTACAATGCCGTAGGTTGCATCATGGAAGATACCACCTCCCCCGGACCGATTTTCACAGCCCGACTACCCCACGATGAAGAGGATGTCTTCAGACCTTCAGGATATTGTCATGAAAGGGCTGGCAGCGTTGGACCCGGGCAGGCCAGATCTTGAAGTGACTCAAGCGAAAACTAGGAAGCAACGTCAGCAGAGAGTCTCCCACAAGACCAGGTCTCTCAACCAGATGGAGAGGTGGTCACCACAAATCAAACTACTACAACGTTCTCGAAAAGCGCTCTCCATGAGACGGTTTCACCGCCGCCGTTATTGACACCGCCACTGGCTTCGCTCCAGAGTTTGGTCCAGGGCGTGTGGTATCTCACGCAACACGATAAAAGCTCACAGGCGTAGTAGATGGACCCCGAGAAGAGGGTGATGCCCGTGGTGAAGAGCAGCCCAGCGGCGGTCCTGGCGGGAGTCTTCTGGTAGATGGGCAGGGTGGCAAGAGCCAAGGCATGGAACATCTGGTACTGGGTAGCGGTCTTCCAGTCAGCCTTTATCTTGTCCGATTTGCCCGATAGACCGTGGGCTCCGTAGGCGCCTGAAAAAGAGAAATAACAGAGACATTTTGTGGGTAATAGCACTGCTCGGGCGGACCGAGTTCGATCTCAAGCCCATGATATTTTACCAAACAGATAACGGCCTGGGGAAATGAAGGAGCTTGGCAAGAGTAACAGTTCTATCAGTTGTGTTCGGCGTAACTTTCGAGTATTTCGCATTTCCAGCGGGCCGCTCTCCGTTCAAAGATCGGTTTTCTCGAGCCCTGACAGACCAGCATTTCTCCCATCAGATTTCACTTGGATTTAGAGTACTGTCTTTCCGCTTCTCGGGGCATGTTTCCGCTCCGCGGTTTCTCGATCACGTGTGGAGCGCGCGTGTCAAGTACGACCACACAAGGTTGTTTCTCTCCCTATACTCCCTATATACGTGTTGCCTGTGTCTCTCTCTGTCTCACTGTCTGTCTGTCTTCCACCGCTCTATGCTCACATGTCTTTTCATGTATTTTCGTCTCTTCTTCCACAGACAGGCCAATTTACAGCGGGCCGCTCTCCGTTCAAAGATCGGTTTTCTCGAGCCCTGACAGAGCAGCATTTCTCCCATCATATTTCACTTGGATTTAGAGTCTGTGTGCTCTCGGTTCGTTCTCTTCGCTCTCCGTCTGTCTGCAGCTCATTTCTGCACGCCCAGCATTCTGTCTGCTTTCGGTTCGTTCTCTATGTGTCCTCGCATCCAATAAAGGAATAAAGGGACGATTTCTTTCACGTCTCTTCCGCCGGTTTTGTCCGCCTGTAACTGTCCGACCTACCGAGCTGCCGATTCCCCGTGTGTCGCAGCTTGCGCAGTCTGCTATCTCCCATCGCACGGCGGGCCACGGGCTCGCACGTCGCGCTCTCCCCCACACCTCTCACTCCTCTACACCTCTCACTTCTACCAGTGCCTGCATCTTTCCTACCTCTGCAAGCTTCAGGTCATCGCGCAACATTTTCAACTCGTCTCCTGCCGCCAAGCGCAAGCCTGGGTCCGACTACGTTCTCGGTGAGGTGTTGGGTTATTGCGTTCGCCCAGAGTGTGACGGAGCTAAAGTCACCCGGCGCTGTTCAACGTTCGGCGGGTGTGAGAATTACTCACAGGGCTGCAAGTATAAGATATCTGTACTCTCGATCCCGTCGCCCTGCGTGACCTGCCTAACGGACATCAAGCCCGGCGCCGTGTGCTTGGGAGTCCCGAAAAATCGCAGGACTCC